TCCTCAGCTTCAGCTTGAACTTGCATATGAGTAGCTGGTGGTCTGTTCCACAATCAGCCCCTGGCCTAGTTTTCACAGCTGACATTGAGCTTCTCCAGGGGTTTTTTCCGCAGATGTAATCGATCTGATTCCTATGCATACCATAAGGTGAAATCCATGTGTACAACCTGCGTTTATGTTTCTTATAAAATGTATTTGAAATAAGTCATTGATTGTACAAAATTCAATCATTCTATCTCCAGCTTCATTTCTGTCACCAAGCCCATATTTTCCAACTACTGATTCTTCTTCTCTGTTCCCACCTTTTGTGTTCCAGTCACCCATTATTATCAATGCATCTTGATTGCATGTTCGATCATCTCCGACTGTAAAAGTTGGTAGAAATCATCTATTTTTTCTTCTTTGGCTAACTACATTAGCAGAAGATTTAACACCCAGGTTAAGAGTTTGGAGAGTTAATTGTGGAGGGAAGAAAGCAAACCAAAAAGCAATACCATACCAAACTAATATATCAAATAACTCCATATAATCATGACTTCTAGCTAAACCAAAAAGTTAGAGAAGAAAACATAAATAATTGCACGTGTGCAATATTTGCCATAAGCATTTTATGGCTATAATAATGTAAACGATAAACACAAATTTAACTAAACATGGTGAATAGTGAGAAATGAGGTAGGGGGGAAAATATCTTTAGACCAGAATACTAAAGCTTTTATAGTTAGTAATTAGTAGGTAATATCTAAAACAAACAAAAAAAAGCAATAAAGAGAATAAGCCTGGTATTTATACGTGGGGAGGGAAGTATTAGATGAAACAGCTACATGAATTGTGAACGACTGTCTCCAGGAGCAGCTATCAGGGGTGCGGAACGGAAGGCTGAAAGAGTGCTGTTTTTCATTATAAGACATATGTGCTGTTGTTAGGTACCATGGAGTCGGCTCCCACATATAATGGCCCCCAAACAATGAAACGAAACCCGGCCCAATCTCACGCCATCCTCATTAACTCTGCGATGCTTAAGCCCATTGTTTTAGCCACTGGGTCAGTTCATTTCACTGAGAGTCTTGCTCTCTTCTGCTGACCCACTATTTTTCTAAGCATGATGTCCTTCTCTAGGGACTGGCCCCTTGTTATAACATGCTAAGAGTATGCCAGACGAAGCCATCTTTGCTTTTAAGAAGCACCAAGCCTCTTCCAAGACATAAATGTTTGTTCTTTTGGCAGACCCTGGTACACAAGGCTTTGATTTTGAAATCTAGGTACTTATGTTATTTTGACATATAATTTAAACCAGAGGAAAATATAAAGTATTGTTTTTAAAATATCCTTATTTTTTTAAAATATATATCCTTTTTGTGAATAATGCTTTTGTTATTGTTGTTGTTATGTGCCATTAAGTCACCTGGGACTCACAGTGATCCTATGTACAACAGCTCTGAACCCTGTCCTATCCTGAGCCAGTCTCACTGACTGAATCACACATAATACCATTGCCCCAGTTATCATGCAATCAGGGGTCTTCCTGTCCTGCAGTGTCCCTCCACCCTTCCAAGGATGATGTCCTTATCCAAGGACTGGTGCCTCCTGGACATGTGCCCTTTGTCACAAGAAGTCTTAAAAATGTTCCTTTAAGGTAAACTTGAATGGTTACTTAACCTTTCTGTGCCCAGCTTCCTAACTCAACAAAGCAGGCACTCAACAGATATTTGAAGATATACTTTTAATGACTAATGTGTGAGTCCCTGACATTTTACTCTGTTGTTGTTAGGTGATGTTGAGTCAACCATGACCCATAACGACTCTATGAGCAGTGTATCTGTACTCTACCCTGTCCTGTACCATCCTTATCATGTCTGGTATGCCAGAGCTCATTGTTCCAGTCACAATGTCAAGCCATCTTGTTGAGGGTCTTCCTCTCTTTTGATGGCTCTCCACCTTACCAAGCATGATAATCTGTTTCCAAGGATTGACTCCTTACAACATGCCCAGATTATGAGAGATGAAGTCTCATCATCGTTGCCTCTAAGAGGGAGCACCCTTATTGCATTTTCTCCAAGATATATTTTACTCTATGGATCTGAAATATTCATGTGTCCCTTTGTAACTTCACAGGTCTGAGACTGTCCTGACTTTCCTTTGCTCTGGGATGTCTAGGTGACCTCCACAAAGGTGCTCATGGAAGGCTGAGTGTTGACCCCAAATACCTCTTACTTAGGCTCTCAGTCCACCCTCTATGATTCTCTTTTGGTCAAGGCAGAGGCACCTCCTACTGCTTGTGGGAAGCTTTTGTCCTGGGGGTCCCTCCCAAGCATCCCTCTGGGCTCCCACTCCAGCTCACTGTGACAGAATCCTGCTCACAGTCCTGGGACGGCTGCAGGTCGAAGTCCTGGAAGACCAGCCTCACAACGAAGCCCTCCGGAGCCTGGATGTCAGTGGTGCTCACTTGGCCTTTGAGATATGGCTCTGGGTACCCAGGGGATGTCAGCTTCTGGGGTTGCTGTTGGGCCCAAAGGATAGAGCTCTGTGTGGGGCAAACCTGGAGGGCCCCCCAGAGGATCAGCCACCACCTGTAAGTGAGAGAGGAGGAGAAGAGGGGGTCACACAGGGATGGTCAGGAGACTGTGGGAACAGGAGTGGTGGGCAGGCAATGATACGGGAATGAGGTGAAGCAAAGGCCTGGTCACCAGCTGTGGCCTCAGCTCTTGAAGCCTGGCCACATCTCTATTTCTTTATTGCCCTTTCTTCACCCCAATTCTTGCAACCTCCTCTGAGCCCTAGCTCTGCCAGTTTTCTACCCTCTGAAGACACTACTGTCGCACATCTCTGTGTACCTACCTCAGGGTAGGGGTCAGCTTTCTGCTTCAGCAAATGCCACCCCAAACTTGGGGTCTGAGGGAGCGATGGCAACAGAGGTGAAGGGCCATTATATTAATTTCCTGTCTCCCAGTGCAGCTCCGCCCGAGCACACCAGGGAAGGCTGCTGCACTCTGTGGTGGTTGTTGTATAACGTTCACCCAGAAAGGACTCATACCTCACCTTCCAGGGAGTTTTCAGAAGCAGTAAGCTGGAGGGGAAGAGATTGCTCATCCTTCTCCTGCAGAGTAGCTGTTGGGTTTGAACCATGTACCTTTGGGTTGGCAGCGCAATTTCTTACCACTAAGCCGCCAGAGCTCCCGGGACTCTACAGAGGATGTACCCATTCCAGGGTACTCGTGTGCGCCCACACATGTACAATATGTGTGTGTCCCACCCTCCTTTCCCCCTCCCTTTCTCCACCCCTAGGTCTCTCCAGGAGCACACTCACATCTTGGGAGGATCTCTTGTAAGGAGGGTCTTTCTTCAAATCTATTTTCCCCACTGTGGGACCAGGGATCTGGAACCTGCGCAAGCACCTGGCTCAGGCCACGGTCCAGGGGGTGGGGCTGGAGAAGGCCCGAGGGGGAGGGAGAAGTTCCTGGAAGTGAGTTAGGTAACGGAGTTCCCTTCTACCAATTCTCTGGGTTGGGTGCCACCTGCTGTCTGACTCAGGAATAGCTCATTCACTACAACTTGAAGGAACATCTTCAAAACTTCTCTTCAGAGATCGAGGGGGCAGAACGCTGACTCGGGACTTTGTTGCGCTGTTTATTCCTGATTTTCCTCATGTGTGTGAATCACACATGGTAGGACGGCTCATCGTAACAAGTAGGTGCTCCTTTAATTTAATACCAGTTCACTTTGCCCTTTCCATTCTTTTATTTTACCTGCGTATGTCTTGTAGAAATTGGGAGTTTTGGGACCCAGGAACTTAAGCTCCCCTTCCCTCTTCCTTCTCACAGGGCAGGTATGGAGCCACTCACATAGATCATCTTTTGAATCTTGCCTATGGTCCCTGGAGGCTGTTCATTGAGCAGGGTCAGAGTTGGGAAGAGATAGGGTCAGTACCAGAGATCCCTGCACCCCTAGTCTCAGCTATCAGTCAAGCTCTCTCAGTTAAGTAGGAGAAGGTGGCCTTCCTTGCACCAGCAGGAGAGGCACTAATGCACAGCTTGGTAGAAGGCCAGGAAGTCGCTGTGCGGCCAGGCCTGTTCTTCAGATAGGCATCTATACAGGTCAGCTGCAGCCTGCTTCCCAAAGACACCAGTAACCTCTGCTCAGGTGGGTTGCCTAGTGGGAAGTACTGGTTGTCCACAGAGCCAGCTTGGAGCAAACATATTGACTGTGATCTGAAAGGTGAGGGAAGGTGTGGGGAGCAGGCGTTTTGGTAAGGCACACACCTCTAGAAGGCCTGCACACCTTTGAGGCTCAGAATATAAAACTTATGGGGGCTTCATCAAACAGATCTCCTCTCCTTTTATTTTACTACTGACTACAAAGACATCCACATGCCTAGAATGGCTCCTTCCCTACCTCAGGATTCCCTTGGTCTAGTTTTAAGTGGGTCTTTGGAACCCTTGAAATCACTGCCAGGACACTCACTCTACAAAGGCACAGACTATGCCATTTTGCTCACCACCACTGATGGCAAACATAGTCCAAGCCATTTATGTGATCAAGATATATGTGTGGCTAAATCTGGAATATATAAGTTAAAATATCTCTTCGCCAGCTTCTTTCTTTCCTCAGCGCTATCCTAATCACCCTGCTCTCCACTCTTTCATTACTTTGTGGAACATTTTTCTCCTACCATCCTTTGGTGACTGGACTGTTCCCTCTACCCATTCTCATGAGGGGTCCTTCTCTAATTCACTTAAGAACAAAATTATTACAGTTGCAACATTTTTGTTGTTAAATCTACCATTCACAGCGACCCTATGAACAATGAACCTGAACCCTGCCCTATCCTGTGCCATCCTTACTGTCTCTGACACACTCTAGCCTAATGGTACAGTCACTGTGTCAATCTATTTCTTTGAGGGTCTTTTCCTCCTTCGCTGACCCTTCACTTTTCCAAGCATAATGTCCTTTTTTTCCCAGGGACTGGTCCCTTTCCAAGGACTCTCAGCCTCCTTTCTAAGGACTGAAACAAAGTTTCACCATCCTTGCCTTCAAGGAGCATCCTGGCTGCACCTTCTCTAAGATGTATTTGTCTTTTTGGCAGTCCATGGGATGGACTTCTCCATCAGAGCATACTTCTCTTCAACACTACAACTCAAGGGAATTGATTCTTCATTTGTCATCCAACTTTCAGAGGCATAGCAAGTAATTGAAAAGATTATAGTTGGGTCAGGTGCACCTTATCTAATACTAGAGTGAGAGGCTCCAAAGAAACAAAGTAAACTAAAAAGTGCTGTGCTTTTGTAATGGTTTGCAATTTTGTAAAAACAACAAGCAACTCCTAACAAGTGCTCTTGGGATCACCTGTTTCGGAGTAACCTAGTGCCATGCCTTCAGATTTCTCTCCTTAGAGCAGCTTTTTGCCACTTTAGTTTTTATCAGCCCAAAGAAGAGCGTGGGAGACAAGCTCCCTCCTGCCCCCCCCCCACCCCCGTGTCAGGAGGTTAAGTTCCACTCTGGCTCACAGCCTGCTGCTCAGGTCCGAGATGGCATGTTCTTCACCCTCTTCTTGTTCCTCACCTCCATTCCTGTCCTTCCATTCTCCAATCTTTTTTCTTCCATCTTCTTTCTGACCGAAGCATTGGGTATACCAGTTTCCTATCCTCTGCATCTCATATTGCTCCAACTTCCTGGAGGAGCCTCTGACTGAATGGACCGCTTCCTGTGAGAACTGGGTGGGGGAGTTTTCATTCCTCCAGTATTAGATCCTTCATGGAGGTGGTTGTTAGGTACTGTCAGCTACAACTTATAGTGACTCTCCGTACAACAGAGCGAAACCCTGCGCCATCCTTACAACCTCTTCTGTCACTGGGTCAATCCATCTTGTTAAGGGTCATCTTTTCACTGACCCTTTACTTAAGCATCATATCCTCCAGGAAGGGACCTATATATCCCAGATGCTACGTTTTTATGAGGAAATTCTGGTGGCTTAATGGTGAAGAGTTGTGCTACCAACCCAGAGGCAAGTAATTAAAATCCACCAGCTGCTCTGTGGGAGAACGATGGGCAATCTCCTCCTGTGCAATTTGTTGCCTTTAAAAACCTACTGGAATGTTAGCTATGAGTTTGTTCTGATTGGACAGGACATAACATAACAATAGTAATGTTTTCATGATCAGAGATTTTATTCTTTTATGTTACCCTCAGGAAAAGGATGCTTTAGGCCACAGCTAAATCGCTTCATGTCTTCCTACCCTTCCCACATGGTGCACTTGTGCCTTTGCTAATAGTTCTGTGGGCAAGGATATTTCATACTAAATAATCAACAAAGACTTAGATACAGTTTGCTTGGGGGAAAACCCCCCAAATACAACAATGAGATTTTACTTTTATATTTGAGAGGAAAAGATAATCTCAAAGATATTCTCCAGGCCCAACAAAAACAAAACAAAACAAAACAAAAAAAGAACAAACCAACCCCAATAATCTGATAACTGCTGCTTGTTGGAATATGAGGAGTCTAAATGAAGTATCATTTCCTGAGTAAGGTACTATCCACAATCAAATAGAGCTGCAGACTTCGAGAAGCTAAGGGTTGTATTTCACTAGACATATAGCAACAGGCTCTGAAGTATGTGTTACTTAAAGGATCCCTTTGTAAAAATGACACTTCCAAAGATGTTATACATATGATATCGAACAGGACTGTGCCTGCTCACAGTAGTGGGATTGAATGTTCTTGACTCACCACTTTATCAAATCAACTTTATGAAGCAGAATCATAGCTAAGCCTCTGCAACTGCAGAATAAGAAATACTTCCTCCTCTTCCGGAGAGCTCTTTCATTAGCATTTATGGGTTTTGCTTTTAAAAACCAAGCACCTAAAACGAATTAAAAAAATATGTAAAAAAAAAAAACCCCACAACAACCCATAACAAACCCAACAACAAACCAAGCACCAGAATTCATTACAGAATACTCAGGGTGAGGGGCAGGGTGGGGGTGGGGGGAAGTCGACCTGAGTGTCTTAAAATATACAGAAGAAAAGGACAATTTAACAAATGTGATGAAAGACGCATAATCTTTTCCATCATCTATAATTGGGAAATAAGCCCCTGGCGTCTGTGACGAGTGAGAGTGTGGCCTGAGCTAGGGAAGAAGGCTGTGAATATGTGTCTCCTTGAGTCTGTTTCACTCCAGCTTCTCCTCCTCCATCCTACAGCTCTCTAGTCAATCTACCAGCCTCACCAGCACTGGGGGCTAATCCTCTGTGTTTATCCCACCCTGTAGTGCCTTTAGATTGTGGTGTTGGAGAGGAGTATGGACTATCCTACAGACTGTCAAGAAAACAAGCAAATATGTCTTAGAACAAGTGTAACCAGGATGCTCCTTAGAGGCAAGAATGGCGAAACGTCTTCATCTCCTGTACTTTGAGACTACTGTGAGGAGAAGCCGGTCCTTAGGAAGGGCTAGCATGCTGGGAAAGGTGCATAGTCATTGAAGAAGAAGACCCTCAACAAGATGGATTGACACAGTGACAGTAACAGTGGACTCAAACATATCAGAGGTGGTGAGAACGGATGACATATAGGACAGAGCAGGGTACAGAGCTGCCATCCATCAGGTCGCCATGGGTTGTTGCCAACTTGATAGCACATAACAACAACAAAAACAGCCATCCCCTGACTAACATATTTGAAGAAATTCCTACTTCTTCATTGTCTAATTTTCCCAAATGACTGACAGTTTTCTAGAAAGACTGTTAGAACCTTACTTACAACCTTACTCACATCTCTCCTTTTTTCATAGTTTTGCTAGAACAACCTAACCCGACCTTCCAGAACACCTCTGAAGAGTCATAGATTAAAAAGAACAACAGAACCTCAGGGCTGGTGAGCCAATTCCAGCTCCTGGGGCCCTCCATCGGGCTGTCCGTCTTTATAGGAGAAGCCTACCATCTTTCTACCTGGGAGCTGTTGGGGGGATACAAATCACTGATCTTTCAGTTAACAGTCTCAGTTTGGCTGAAACAGCCCCAGTTTCCACTGGCTGTTCAGGTGTAATTATGAATAGTTGTCATAAGATACAGTGCAGCTACTTCCATATGGTGGCTGGGCTACAAGAAGTCTCCCTCCTACACCAACCCCACTCACCTCACCTGTTGCTGTAGTCATGACCTACCTGGACCCAGGCAACCCTACTTCATCTATCATGGTCACATCTGTAGCTATCAAATGTGTAGGGATGTTGTGGGGGGAAAGTCAAAGAAGAAGCCTCTTACAGACTTGGGCCTAGAGAAGAAGCCTGATGGCTGTGTGTGAAGTGAGTCACCACACCCCCTGTGAGGCTGGGTAGGACAGCTGTTCCTTCATCTTGCCCTCAGCATCACCTTCCTTGCACAGGGACCTTCTTTCTGAACAGCAGGGAGGCAGGAGCAGCTATTGCCTTACAGCCTATAGTCCTGGCTGGAGAAGCAGGTCTCTTAGTTAAGCAAGTGACTTAGAGAAGCACCTGTCTTAGTTATCGAGTGCTGCAATAACAGAAATACAAGTGAATCTAGAAGTCCAAATTCAGAGCATCAGCTCTAAGGAAAGTCTTTCTCCCTCAGCTCTGACGGAAGGTCCTTGTCTCCTTTGAACATTTGTAGGCTAGTGTCATTTGGAGATCCGTCTTGACATCACTCCTTTCCTGGCCCAGTGTCTGTTCTGACTCATAACAACACTTACTGGGTTTTCATATCTGTATGGAAGGAGATGGTCCCTCTTTCTCCTGGAGAATGGGTGGTAGATTTGAGCAGCCGACCTTCTGGCTATCACCATGGGTTATACACTATGGCACCAGGGCTCCTTCTGTGCAGACTAGGCAAGTAAACCCTTTGGAATCATTCTGCTCTGTAACATATGGGATCTCCATGAGAGCAAGGGTTTAGGGTTTTTTAGGTGGGTTTATTATGAATTAAAAAAGCCTGAAAAGGATAAATACTGTAATTCCTAGAGCAGCAGTTTTGCAGAGCAATGGTTCTCAGTCTGTAGTCTGGGAATCCCTGTTAGAGGGAATTGTAGGGTGTGGTCCTTGAGACTTTTTCAAGGGTTTCTGTGAAAATTAATTTCATTGCAATGCTAAGATGTTGTTTGCTTTTTTCCTCTCTCATTAACTCACATGTAAATGGTGATATTACCAGAGGCTATATCTTTGATAGCTAATGGCATGTATGCGTGCGTACCCTTGTATCTGAACATTTTTAAATTTTTAATCCTAATACCTCGAATATGAATAAATTAACCTACATGTATAAAAAGCTCTTTGGAGTGCTCAATGAGTTCTAAGCTGTATACTATTAAAAGTAAGGGAAAGAGTTGGATAGCTAATAGTTGCTAATAATTGAATAAATAAATGACAATGGAAATCTAAAATCTAAGTGGTTTGATTGCAGGGTGACTGATCAAGCAGACATGTCCTGGGCTGAGGGGTTTCCTGGTATACAGGACTTTCAGTATTAAAACCAGGACAATCTCATCCAAACTGGGACGGTTGGTGACCTCCTTTCATTCTTTTTTCACTCATGTACACTGTGCTTTATCCACTCTCCCATTTACATTGTGTTTTGGGATTGCAGTACAGTTTCTCACAACTAGGCTATGAGCGCTCCCAATATTGCGCTTTATACAAACATCCATTACATTATATTTTACATAATTACAATTGATCTATGTTTATTATTCCCTCATCTTTTGGAGTCTTCACTGAATCTTTCCTATTCCTTCACTTCCATTGCCTGCCCAATTAACCTCTGCCATCCTAGTGATTTCCACCTTTGCCCTTTTCCAGACCCATTTCCCTTTTGAAATACACATCTTACTAGTTATTCTTCTATTTTTACAATAATGGTCTTATGCAGTATTTGTCCTTATGAGACTGAGTTAGTTCACTCAACATAATGTTCTCTATTCTCTCCCATGTTATATAGTATTTTATGAAATTATTGTTCCTGAGAGTATTCTATTATGAGAATGTATCACAATTTTTTTATCCAGTCATTTGTTGATGGGCATTTGCACTGCTTCCATATTCTTGCTATTGTGAATAATGCTGCTATGAAAGTAGGTGCACATATCTACTTTCTTATTTCATTTCTAATTTCCTTGGAATATATACCTAGTAGTGACACTAAAGTTAACTCCGCAATAAGGGATATACCTTTAACTTGCTGGTCTGTCT